ATGTAATATATTTTAACGTCATATCAAAATCATATTATATTATATTAATCGATTTCAGGTCACTTCCCGATCGGTTGTCAAAGCGAGGTCAGGTGGATGTTCGGACATTTGGACAGCGATAGCGACGGCCGACTCTCACTCTCCGAATTGTACGGTCTAGAACACGATCAGAATGAACCATGCTTGAAACCCTTCCTAGATGGTTGTGATACCGACAGGTAAGAGTCATATATATGAATTCCTGTTCTACACATGAGAAGAGATCGTATGCACATGTACGATTGCATCTAAGGCTTATACTTGGTATTCCTATTGTGTTTCTATCTCGACGAGAGTAAGCGGATGAGATAAAATCGCGATTGAAAATAATTTAGAAATAATGCAGTACGCAGATATATATCCTTTGAAATTACGAGTACGGAAAAATTATAAGAGTCGTATAGGAACTTTAATTTAAATGTGTAAGAAAAAAATTTAATTTAATTACAATAGCTTACACAATTAGATTGTTTAGAAAGACAATAAGATACGTAGAAAGATAACAAATATAGAAATTAGATATATTAATTATGACGTTATGTATATTAATTGTGTGAAATGCATGTTAAAAGAGATGTAGAGATATACCTTATGAAATAACTTGGTTTGACCAAACGCATGGCATTACTACTGCGACTGAGCACACGCGTTCATTATTGCCTACTGAATAAGTTAGTACGGTAGTTAGTACGGTTCTTTCCAATCTGCATATAAAAAAATTCCTTATTATTTATGCTTTATTACTATCGTTTAACATTTAAATATTAATATATTATAATAATATATTATTTTCATTTCATTTATACATTTCATTTTAACAATTAATTTATTATACATATTTATCTCGCAAAATTTCGCAATGCGAAAATTTTATTCTCGCTATGACTGTTAGTCTGTCAATGTATTTTATATATTATTATTATGTCATGTTACATTTGAGTGCGCAGCGATAATCTAAGCATCATGAAGTCGTCATCGGGATGAAAAATTAAGACGGAGAGGAAAAAGTTCGCAAGAAGTGTGAAATGCATATCGCGTATTATATTTACAGTGATATTTTTGTGAGCGGACCTGAATGGTGCGGGTGCTTCTCTAAGGCCGAACGTCCGTGTGCCGCTGTGCGCAGACGATCATCCCCGGATTCGGCACCCGCCTGCGACTCGAGAGGATATTACCGCAGCACCCAGTGCCACCGTGGCCTTGGCCTCTGCTGGTGCGTCGATCCACATGGCGTTGAATTTGCTGGTACTAGAACGCGCGGCGCGAAGCCTGACTGCGGTAAGTTTTTATTAGCGTTTGTAAAAATAAAAATGGTAAAAATCTAAAATAAAATATTGAACAATACATAGATATAAGCCAAGTACATGTTAACAAACTACAACGCGAGACGTGGCATTTACTCGGCAAGCAGGATCTTGGTTGCTAAAGTCTCTTTATAATATGAAAATAAATTCAATTAATTTTTATATTACCAACTACGTGCCGCTTTTTTAGCAGACTTTTTCAACATATTCCCTTCTGATGGGGGGGATAATAAAAGGGATTTTAATCGATATCAATAATATTGATCATCGAATTATTATAGAACCACTATGTTCAAAGTCTACTAAAAAAGCGGCACGTAGTTGAATTTTTTTGCAATATCCTTTGATTTCTTAATATATTCCTTCGATTTCTCTTGATTACTCAGCTAAGAGCTCTACATCTACGATGGTGTTACGATAAAAATTAGAAGCTTATTCATCCTTGTTCATCTTGTCTTCTTCTTATTTTGTTCGTGTTCGTCTTTATATTAAGTGCTGACATGCTGACGAAGAAAGTTTTTATTGTATATTATTTTATTATTATGTACCTAATTGTACAGATGTGACTAATCTCGTACTTATTAAATTCGTAAAAATGGATGGCAACTAAAGTTATCTTTGAATTTTATATGTAATATATGTAGTATAGTACTTTTCACTTCTTTTAATAGCTGTCAAACCGTGTATTTTTCTATCTGAATAAGCTTTATTTCATGTGCCTTTTATTAACTATCAGGCTATTTATTAACTATTAGGAAAGAAAAAAATAGTAGCCACCCATTTTCACAAATGTCAAAGTTATATCAAGTGTCGGTCAAGTTTTGGTCAAGTATCTTTTTATTTGCAAATTATATGCAATAAATTTCACTGTGTCATTTCTCGCTTATGATATCACGATTCCAATATAGCCGCGGCGGATTAGTCAAGAGTTTTAAATGCTAATTTTTATTTTATTCTATTGATAGAGAAATGGAGGATATGAAATGAATTTGAAAATTAAATATAAAATTACATATCATGCTCGCAAATTATATTCTTAGAACTATCTTATAAACTATCTTGCAGATACAATTGTGAACAAGATTAGCAGCGGTGGGCTCAAAACCAATAGCGTGGATCTTGATGACGACGAGGACGGTGGTACTGATTCCGCTCAGGATCTCGAAGGCTCAGCTGATCAACCTCTAGATTTCTAGATGCGTTAAAGACGGCGGTCAGCAACGGAAGCGCAACATCTTTAATCGATTTCTAAAAATAAGAAATCAAGCGAGTAGTCGATTGAAAGCGAGTCCACAAAGATACACGCGCGTCCGCCAGCTTCGAGTTGTGATCAGAGGTGTTCTATGTCATCATCGGACCGCCTATTAATCCTATCGAGGTCGCGATCCACGCGCGACGAAACAAACGTGAGCCTAAATGAGTTCCGAGAGCAACGAAATGCACGACGATCATTAGTTACGAGAAAGTCGGATCCGTAGCGAATCGCGCTGCGTGAAACCGGCAGAGATCGTTGTCGAATTATCGTAACTACCTTAGTCGCGTCCTTCGTCCCGAGTTAGGAAATTCCAATCGACATTAAAGTAGCGAGTGTCTTGCCATGTCGTGCAATAATCGCGTATGTCCAGCGGCAAGCGATGCCTACAGCCGAATCTACGCAATCGTACTATAATTTCGTGCAATATTCAATCGAGTTCGTGTAGGAAATGGCCGCAGATATGGCCGAAAGTGTGTGTATGTTTGTGAGGTTGGTGGCGACAGAGTGAGAAAAGGGAGAAAATTCCGCTGCGAGCCGCATTGAACACTGACCGTTGGATTACCTCCATGCCTATCGAGGTACCTCCACGCACAATTAAATCTATATATAAAATAATTACGTCAATCATTTATGCATACATTAAACAAAGAAACAGAAAAAGAGAAAGAGAAAAAGAGATTTGTGAAAATTCGATTGTGAAGGTTCGAAATAAGACAAGATAATTTTGTGTATCGACCATAAGTTATATTAAATGAAAAACCACGGGAAAAAAAACCTTATAAAAATATGATTTCTAATCACTAGATTAACACAGTGTCGATTGTAATATCGAAACATGTAATGTTAATTACGATTTATGTGGTAATGATGCAGCAATGAATGAAATTGAAAGAAAAGATGTAAGAGCGGAGGAGAAAGGCGAGCGAATGCGAAGTCATTCTGCTACTGTCACGCTTGCACACGCTGGAACTTAGTTGAACCACTCGAAGCAAATAGGTTTTCGTAGCTCTTGCCACTTCACTTTCGGCTGTGTTTCGCCGAACGCGATATAGAGAATTTCGCCGTTATTCCGCTTATTTATTACATTCTCTCAGGCAAGCTCGAAATATTCTTTAAGTTATTCTTCTTTCCTTCATAGTCGTCTTGTGTTATGAAGTTAGTATAGGATGTACGGAATAAAAAATGAACTTATTTCGTATTCGTTAATGAATCTATTTCATATTACGCAGTTCAATCACGATAGGACGTCGAGCTGGTTGTTAAGAAATGTAAGGTTGCTTATAAAGATAACGTCAAGTATTATTAAACTCTATTAAACATTACCAGATTTGTGCAGAATTACGCAGAGTCATGCAAGTTACGCATTACGATTCTTTACGTCTGCAATCGAAATAAAATCCATCACGCGAGGCCGAAAGTTGTTTTTTATGATGCTAGAAAATGTTCAACGTCGTGATTCGTCTGCATTTACTGTAATTATAAGCATTTTTACTTATAACTTTTACTTAAAGAGTGTGTGGTACACCGTAGATATTAGAGTAACATATAATCCGTAGGAAAAAAAAACAAAAAAAAAAGAATCAGTGTGACTATGTGAATATGCCCCTAGCATTAGAAGGCAATTTACGTAGAGATAGCCGATGCAAAAATTACACGTCTCATTTAGAATGAAAGTGATAATTCGTTTTGCAAGCCTAACAGCATTTCATATTTCTTCATCAGGCATTCATTCTCTATAAAGTTCAGGGAAAACAACATGACATTCGTCGCGTATATTTTGATCAAAGACAACATATTTATTAAAACTTTTAAGTAACACAATTTACATTTTACTTTTCTTTTTATCAACGTTTTATTTCAATTTATTACTACGACAATCCTTGTGAGCAACATTTTAATTTTATTTGATAAATTGTATATTTTTATACTTTTTTTTTATACAAAGAATAACTTAATATATCATTTTCTCAAATTATCCGTAATGTCTTGCCTTAATAAACATGGCGTATTAAACTTGCGCATTAAAATATGTAGATGACATTTAAAAATATATCTACATATTTAACTGATAAACGACATCGTCCGCAATGAGCTAACGCATACTCCTTCCTGCATCGAGCGCAATTTGCATTCCGCCTGACTTATTGTACTCTCGACCTAGACTAATTAATATAATTACAAGCGAACATATATAAAATAGTTTTATCGAGTCTTGCATATTGTATATACATGATTATATACAATGAAAATCATCGTCAGTGATCTTCGTACCATGATGATTTTTGTAATGTATGCACTTGATCAAAGCGTAAAGCAAGGCGTAAAGAATTTTTACTTCATTCAAGAGCTACCGTAAATATCTTACTTAATCGGTATTGTACATGTGGCTGTAAGAATTCTTTATGAATAAAGATTGTTGTAGAAATCGGGGATATGTATTTTTGAGAAAGCCATGATATAGTTAATATAAAATTTATTTATCATCTTTTACTTCTAGAAATTCCATACAAATTTATAATAGAAGAATATATATCAACGTAGGACAGTAAGTAGATAATACGTATTCATACACACACGCACGCACGCACGCACGCACACCCACCCATCCAGTGTGTGTGTGTGTGTGTGTGTGTGTGTGCGCGCGCGCGCGCGCGCGCGCGTGTGTAGT